TAGGTACTCCTTCCTAGAGTGCCCCTCCTTTCCAGCTGTCCACTCAATCTCCTGTGCATTGGTCCTGGAAATGAGGCATACCCATACCCAGCCTGGTCAGTGCTGGATTCAAACTTCACCACCCTGACTTGACTCTTACAACCTATCAGAGAGACCAGAACACTTCAAAAATAGTGGGAGGCGGGAGGACAAATATGCAATATTTTCTTTCCTTCACTTTAAACTTGACTTCCGTGAGTTTCTCTGTCAATCTATGTCCTGTACTATGTGTCTGTTGCTAGTACCTAGTATAGTCCCCATGGATAGTCACCCCTTCCCTACTTCCTTCCCAGCTCTCTGTAGTATATCCTCCTATTCAGACATCTGTCTTTAGCACGTTTCTCCTTTATATGGTCCTTGTACAGAGTTGCTTTGTCATATTAATATTAATAATTAAAATATGGATGTATGACAGTATGATTTTTGGAACAATTTTTAAAATTGGGCCCCCCACATATGGACTCCTCTGTCCACAAAGAATGAGAGCTTCAACTTCCTAACTGTTCTCCACTTTATTTTCTCCAATTCAGGTGAATAATAAAAATCATAAATGTATAATAGATAATAAAGGAAGAACAGTTGAAGAAGCAACAAAAATATATAGTCAACCAAGAAATGTTGATGAACTGCCATCTGTAGTCTCCAGCAATTACTGGCAAAGAGAAAATTAGGGAGCTGTAGACTAGGGGGAGGAGAGAGAGCTCCAAGGAGTCACGGGGACTAAAATAATGTGGACAGCTCAGAAGAAGCAGAAACCAGTTTCAAAAAAGGAGGTCTACATTGTAGGAACTCAATAATAGAAGCTGAGCTGGGACATGGGGGTGATTTGAGTGCCCCTGAAATGGGGGTTGGTGTTTCAGGAGCTTCAGCTCTGTGGTCCTAATTCTGGAACTTCACTCTGAGAGGACACTGTGTGTTGTAAGATAACTGGGCAGGAAACTAAAGACCCCTTGGAGTGAGTGAAGTAGGCTCCATCCTTGAAGCCAGTATTCGCCTCTGGGCTTTTCCAGAGAGAAGCCCACATCCAGGCCAGTGGCCCAGCAGGATGCAATGTACCCGTGAGCCCTTTCCACCTCCACTATCCCTTCTTGCCCTATGAAATGCCCTCCCTCTTCCTTGACCTTTACTCCTTTTGCTCCCCATAGTGACCCTTTCTAACTCTCTGGCTTCAGCCATAATAAACAGTCTTTTCCAAATCCCTGTTCCACCCTCCTGGGCTTCTGAAGGAATACCAGGTGCTCCCACTGAACTGACCATAGAGTCAAAGCCTCCTGCCCTGAACTCTTTCTCTCCTTTCCCCATTCCTCAATTAAAGAAACTAGCAAATTTATATCAAATCCCATTCTCCCTTTACTCCTAATTCCCAACTGTCTGGCAGAGCCTATGGGTGCAGGCAGGAAGGAGACTCCAAGCCTTGAGGTCCCAGGGAGTGCAGGAGAGGCTGGGGGTAACCAGCTTCTGGAAGCCACGAGCTGGGGGAGGGGCCAGTTAACTACCAGAATAAAGAGTAAAGGTGGGGAGATCAGGCAAAGGACTATCTATCCACTGCTTAAGATGTGTCTATACAGGAAAGGCCAACAGTGTAAGAGTTTGTGGCTTTTCAAAAAGAGGAAACTTAGGGAGATCGTGAATAACTGCCCCTTAATTTATTCCAAAACCACTTCCAATCTGAAAGAGAAAGCACCTTCTTGGGTGGCGTCTATGCAGGCCTCCAGTTTCAATAACTGAGGAAGTTGTCAGAGAAGGAAAACACTACAGCCTTCTCCTCAGGACTGAAAAGGAATTCCATGGGTCTCTCATTAAAAGGAGGTCATGGTGGACCCACCACCCCAATATTCAGGTTGAGGCTGAGCTCTGAATCTGAGTGAGGATTGTGTCTGTGCCACAACTATTTGTCTAGTTTAATCCCCCAAATTACAATGGACTCCACTGACTTTAACACAAAGCACCCTGTGTCTAAAACTGGGTCTCAAGGAGCAAGATATTTCTCCTAAATAAGATTTAGGAAGAAAATCATTCGTCTGTTCTGCTTACATATATAAGCTTATATTACCCAAATGAGTTCTGTATTTGGTCCTCATTATCTACGAAGTTGTTCTGCTCCACTCGGATCTGCACAACCAAAGCTGGGTATTTAAAGCCACTATTGAGCAAGCAGGCAGGAGATGGACCCGGCAGTCTGGGTTCTGTGGATGCTAATGCAACCGGAAACCCAGGGCGATCGATGGCTCAGACCCAGAGCGGAGCTGGGACCAGGGGCCCAGATCCGCAAACAAAACAAACCCTTGGGACCTTGGGTTCCGGCCAGCTTGGACCACGACTCTCCTGCGCCCCAGCCCTCCCTCCCCTTTATATCCAAGAAAGCGGGGCCGGTTTTTAGGCTCCAGGCCACAGGAGAAACGCACCCTGGAGCCTCCAAACCTCTCTGCGCAGTGGGCATTTGGAGGTGCAGAAGGTTTTGGTGTAATCCAGCGCGAGGTGAACAGAAGGTCCGGTATCCCGCAGCCCACAGGCCTGGTCTTAAGCCTGAGCGGCCGCTTTTCTGTATCTGCCTCGATGGAGACAGAGTTGCCGATTTTCCGCGGATGGGCCCGCGGCTCGCGCCTGCAGCCACAAGACTTCCCAGTCTCTCCCGCCGCCGCTCACCGCTGCAGGCCCGCGCCGTGCTCGCGGCTGTTGCTCTAGGGGAGGCCCCAAGACAAAGGCGGGTCGGCTGCTGCCGGAGGACTCGGGCGCCTGGGCCACTCCCCAACTCACGCCTGGCGCCCTCAGCGCCCCGGCCCAGTGGAGAGGGCTCTGAGACCCGGATCAGTCCGGATCCCGCCGACTGGTCCATTTCAGGGGCCCAGGAAGAGGCAACTCAGCGCGCCCAAAGCCTCGGCTGATCCGAGTAGCTCGCCGCCCAACAGCGCCAGAGGCTCTGGTCGCTTTCCGAGGGCAGTCGGGCCCCGCGAAGGACGGGATGACCCCTGCTGGCCGGAGCAGTGGAGACTGTCTCTCCTGGACCGCGTCCCACCCAGTTCCTCTTCCCTGAGCACCCTGGGCCTGAGGGCACACACCATAAGTTTGTGGGAAGCCTTGAAAAGCAGATGGAGTTTGAGGCTCTGTCTGAGCTGCGGGAACCAGACATTTCTGCCAAAATGCCTTCCCTTTGCCAGCACGCAGTGTCCCCACAGTGGCAGCCAGCCCTCCAGCGGGGTTTCTTATCTCTGGCGGTTTTGCCCCCGGTGGCTCCTGTGCTACCCGCCGAATCCTAGCACAGAAGCCAGGAAACTGAACCACCACAAGACTATAGTGCTGGACCAGTGGGAACCAGCTCAGTGCCAGTGGATGATTTCTCATTTTCAAGCCAAAGGGTTTGCTGGGCACTTGGAGACAAGTCTTCAGTTTGTCTGACCATGAGAGGAAAACTTCCTTCAAGGACAGGTCTGTAGGGATCCAACCCACCAGGAGTCCTTGCTTGGAAAGCTTTCTGAAAGGCATGTAGTCCACATGGAATCCTGGAAAGATATTCCCTAATATATACACCTGGCCGTGCTGGGGCCATGACCAATGTAGTTAATAGATCTTTTAGATACCTATATTACTTGTATTTTCTGGGCATGCTAAATACAGTTTTATATAAAATATGCACACAGAGGCACTATTATCTGTTACATGGAAAAACAATGTATAGAGAAAAGATCACATAGCATAGGTACTCACATGTAAAATTTATTTACATATATAAATACTACAGTGAATATGTCCTACATGGGGAATGTATAGTCCTGAGTCTACTTGGCCACATGCTTATATACTCCACAGGACACATAGAATCTGTGCATTAATTTTACCTAGATCTTGCTGTATGTACACAAAAATTTAATGAAAAAATATTGTACATACACAAAGTGCATATTTACACATTGTAAATTATGTTTGCCCGCATGGTGTATGTATACCAAATATATTGAAAATACAATTGTTGGACTTACATCTTTATAGTACATATTTCTCTGGTGATCTTAAAAGTAAGAACAAGAGGAAGTTCAGGCATTAGTAATGACAGTCTCCATCTGCTGAATTTTATTTTTTCTTTTGTGTGTTTCTATTATTCTTGTCTCCTAAAATCCCCTTCTATGTCTACAAGCATTATTATGTAGGTGGTCGCCAATATCTATTTGCCTGTTGTATCTCTCTTGTCTGAAGCTGGGTATTTAGAACAGGATTAAGTCCTGTCTTCAGCAGGATCTACTGCATAATCACTCCTACATAGAATTATATGATTAGGTTACCCCGTGTGTCCCAAGATGCTCTCTTCTAGACCTAATGTAAGTACAATAGAGATTGATTCTGTTCTGCCAGGTAGGAAAAAGGAGACCGAATTTGGTCTAGTGTGGTGTTTAACAGACATGTTGATTTCTAGGTGTTCTCTGAGCGTAAGGGGGCTCCTGAAAGCTAATATTTGCTTAATTTTAAATTTTTATTTTAAATATCGAGTCTAGAGAGCAACATGAAACAAAAGTTGACCTGGGCTTCTATTGGTAGCCTCAAATCTGGGATTAGCCTCCCTTTCAGCTAGGACAAGAGATGCTTTCAGCGGTCCCAGCTATTGGACTCCCATTTTTAAACTGGGCTGGGCCTACACAAGCAGCAGGAAAAAAGCTATCTCATGACCCCAAATTTTCTTTTCTCCTTTTCCCAACAAAATTATTGGAGAGGCACTGAGTTCCCTATTTTGGCCCCCTAAAAATTAGTCTCACTTAGGTCTCAGCAACTAAAAATTCAGGGCTGTCTGACATACCTATGGAAAAAAAAATTCTTTGAGACAGTTCACTCACAGCCAGCAGAGATATTGTTTATGAGTCCACGGATTCCGTGTAGACGCTGCGATATTTTACAGTCCGAAGGAATCAATTAATTAGCGCCTCCCAGTCCCCCCCGCCGGCCGCTACTCGGCTGAGCGGGCGCGGCTGAGATAGATGTGAGTGGCCAGCTCGCTGGTCTTGTTAACAAGCCTCACCATAAAGATGGAGATGATAAGAAGTGCAAGGAAGCTGCGGCAGCCACCGCGGGGCGGGCAGGGTGCGGCTTGGAGGGCCCCGGTCGCGAGCTGAGCTGCGTGTGGGACGACGCCTGCCTGGAGCCGGAGCTGCCCTGGCGCCCACTCGGGTTTATCCAGCGCTCTTTCCTTCTTGGGCGTTCATGCTGTGAGCTAGGACTCTTTCCTCTCTCCTTCCCTGAATTCTCCCTTTTCTTCATCGGGCCCAAAATGAGACTTTAAAAATAAAAATATATAAACCTCTGTCCGCGAGCCATTGAGTGCTTGTCTTGCCCTCTGCCACGTTTGTTCCGGGGACCTGCCGTCTCGTTCCTTTCCCAGCGTTTCTCTGCGTGGTTCCCTTTCATCTCAGTCTGGCGCTCTCTTCCCTCCTCTGGCTCTCTCTTTCTCTCTGGCTTCGAGGTTGCTTTTTCTACCAGGTCGGTGCTGGCTCAGGGTCCAATGAGCTTATAAAAAAAATACAAATACCCGCTGGTTATCCTGCACCAGAGCGAACAGCCCCTGATAAGCCAGATCCAATGGGGGAGAAAAACACCTTGGGTGTAATTGCTGGTTCGGGTTGTAGCATTTAATTCTGTTTATTCTCGCCGATGTGCATACTTAACAGAGAGATATTGATATTAAAGGGCAAGGGGGAATTAATTTTACTTTTATAGTCATCTATTAAGAGCAGAAGATGATCTGAGTCTCCTTTAAAGGGACCAAAAAGGGGGGGAGGAGGGAAGGGGAGGGGGAAAGGGAGAAAAATGACTGAAGGGGAACAAAGATCTTTGCCTGAAGAAACAATGTAACACTATACAGAACTATAAAGTCAGGGAATGTAAGAACCCAGGACTCTCAGCTTCCCCCATTTGAAATCCTGTCCTCTACACTTCCTGCTGAAATCCTGGACCCTCAGTACACAGTGGTATTCAAGGAAGAATTCATGCAATTATCCGGATAATTGTAGGGGGAGTGAGAGAAAGCATTTCCCTTTTATTGTTTGACCCTCTCTGGTGTCTGTGCTGAGGAGGAGGAGAAGAAGGAGGAGGAGGGGCCAGGGGGTATTTGGGATACAGAGGAAAAGGAGGTGGTAGGGTCTCTCAATATTACCCTAAGTTCTACTAAATGACTACTCCTAAATCAAGAAGGGTCTAGACAGGAGCTTACAGATTTTGAAAACATACTCAAATAAGTAAGAGATCCAGTTTGAAGGCCTCTGATCCAGTTTCATTTTCAATATTCACTTGGCTTCACTTTGTCAGCATAGACCTGCCTCCTCTAGTATTGTAATCATCACAAGTAAGTGGATAATAGATAATTATAGGGGTGTCGATAATATTATTTTATAGTCACACAAGATATGATTAGAGTTAATGTCAGAAGCTCTGTTGGAGCCTGGGAGGCAGCATGAAGCAAGGAAGAGAGGCTCTGAGAGTCTTTCTCTTTCCTACTATTAAAAGAGTGAAAATTTTCAAAAATTGTTAATACTCTAAATTTCTTATCTGAGTGTCTTGAGGGAGATCTCTAGAATTTTAGGGGTCATAAAGCTCAGACAAGGACAAAGAACAACTTGATACTTGAACTCTGCCCTTCTTAGTCTAGGGAGCAGTGGGCTTTGCTCTCCCCAGGCCTCCACAGTCAGGGACTTAGCTCTCAGTTCTCAGTGCAAGGCCACTAGTGTTGTGGAGACTTGGTAGGTGAGACTAGAGAGAGCAAGATAGGAGTTTATCTCAATCAAGTTCATAGTCAACCCCAAGTAGGCACTGGGCCCAGAGCAAGTCCCCCCACCCTTTTAATCCCAAATTTATTTTCTTTCCTGGAGTCTCCTCCCAAAGGACACATGAGTGGAGGTAAAAGCCTAGTTGGGATTGCAGAGGTCAGTTCATGGTGGGGATGAAGAGAAGACTGAAAATATTTTTTTTAAAGATGGTTTGTGGCTCAGGGGTAGAACACTTGCTTGCCATATATGAGACCCTCGGTTAAGTCCTAGCAGCATGCACACTAGCACCCCCCCCCAAAAAAAAATTGTTTCCAGGAGTCAAGAGTCCAGAAGCCTTTGGAGACAGGGGAAGACTGCCTTAGAGGCAAAGGCAGAGAGCAAGGCCCCGAGAATCGTAGGGAACTATGAAACCAAAGGCAAGACTAAAACAAATGAGAGAAAGAAAGGGGGCAGCAAGAACGGGAGGAGAAAACAAAGAAAGGAAGAAATTAAAAGGAAAAGGTAGGGTTGAAAAGGGCAGAAATTAAAAGAAAAAGAGAGGAGAGAGGCAGAGGCAAGGGTCAGCAATTTCTCTCACTCTGCCTGGTCGCTTTCAGCAGTCTGGGTGGGCGGGGGCGCCATGACAAAGTGAAGGTCAAGTTAGCATCGTACCTTATAAGGAAGGCGTCGGTCCTCCATTTCAGCCTTTCTCTCCAGAAGGACGCTGGCAGTGGCATTTCTCATCTTGTAAACACTGGATTCTATGGGACATTAAAAAAATAAAGACCCTCACTCCTTCCTTTATTGGGGGCGAGTTCTGTCCGCCAGAGAAAGCTTCGGATAGGGAAGTCAACTAACGAAGACTCCGGGAAACTTTTCTTTTTTCTCTCTCTCTGGCTAGGCTCCCGCCAGCTGGGGCTCCCTCTCTCCCCCAACCCCCACGCCTTCTCTCTCTCTCTCTCTCTCTCTCTCTCTCTCTCTCTC